TACAGTATGAAAAAAGAGTATTTGCACCTGTGCTGAAGTTCACTGCTGTGAGGAGTCCAGTTCTGTCTCTCACTCTGGTCCAGCCTGTCTGCATAACCTGGGCACTTTAAACAAACAGATATATATGTAAAGAACCATGTGTACAAACAATATAACTTATTATCTTCTGTTGAACATGTTGGATTGTGTATTTTCCGAGTCAGGGTCCTTTTTATTTTACTGTAACTTTGGAAGTTGTGTTACCAATTCTTACTGTTTATTTGATACCAATTTGGTAATGCAATTAATAAAAACAACAAGATTTGGGTTCGTTCTTCAGATGACTGTGATGTTAACGTAAGCTCAATAATGAACTCCAGCTCAACCATCCATATTGTAATCATCTTGAAATATGACATTAATAATTGTAATATACACACATCTTATTGTGAGGTTGATTTCACATACACTACTTCGACGTTAGCTTGTCTACATACTTGAGCATAGCCAATTTAAATTAACCTTAGCGATGCATACAGTTCCTACCTACATAATAAAATATCTCTCTAAGTTACAAGGATGACCTTATTTTATCAACCTCAAACAGAAGCCGTTTGTTCTACAGTATTATCCCACTTAAAGGGCCCATGTCATGGCCATTTCCACTGATCATAATTATATTGTTGAGGTATACTAAAATAGATTTATACTGTGCAATTTTCCAAACTCACATTGGTTTCGCATACAGCATCTCTGTCAAGCATGTGTATTCAGCAGTATTCACTTTCTCCACTAAACGACTCGTTGGAGCTCTTGCCCCCCCCCCCTCCCTGTAAGCCTAGTGTGCTCCGATTGGTCAGCTCGGCCACTCTGTTCTGATTAGTCAACCACCAGAGAGGCTCCGCCCGCTTTTTTCGGGGAACATCAGTGTAATGGTACAGCTGATATTTTATACTAACTAACCGAACTGAACCTACAACTGTTGTTATAGAAGAGTGTGACGGCCCCAGGGCCTTTGTGCAGGTGTGTTGCAGGGCTTACGGTGGGGTGGAGCTGAAGAGGGTAATCAGCGCGATCACGGACACCTCCGTAGCCGGTGCTATTAATCCCAGCGGCCCGGAGTCTCTCTCCAAAGCGGCTGCAGAAGGACGAACTGAGCGACCCTCTCCCCTCGACCACCTATCTCTGCATTTACCACAATAAATGTGCCGTGGTTTTGTAAACTCGTGTATGTCTCCTTGCCTTTCCGTTGTGGCCTACGAGCCGACATAACAAAGAGTAAGTTATTTTTACCTGTAATAAACTACTACTGTTTGATGAGAAATCAAATCATGGTTTGCTAATATATGAATTCAGGGAAGAAAGGATAGGCCTACTAAGTATTTCCATTAAACTTTATTTTTAGAAATGTACAAAATGAACATAAATATACATATATACACACGGTATATCATCCATTCCTCCTCCTCTTGCCTGCGCACAGCCGGTGCGGTGCCTTTTAGCACGAGGCCTCAGTAGTAGTAGAAGTCCCGTCCCCGTCATGGATTGTCCGCCAGGATCTGGCTGGACGAAATCAAATGCAAATCACAAAATATTAGAGAAACTTAGTTGTTTTAGATTCGTTAGTAGTAGTTGTGTAATGAACAGCTTGCCTGCTAATATGCTAACCTAGCTTTGTTTACCTTGGTAGCTAACACGATATGAACGTTAGCTTGGAGGAAAGGCAACTATAATGCAGTGTAATAAAACTACTATGAACAAAAGCTAGTGGTTCATATTAGGCTAGCAATAACGTGTTTATAATTGCAATCGTATACGGGTATTCTGCTACCATACAATGTAACTTGCATGAATACATTGTTTTGCGCTAGCATACAGCTAGCCTCGTTAGCTACATGCAGTATATGTACTGTCACAATGTACGGTAAATCACCCGGACTATACTGTATGAGTATTCCGTGTGTGTGACTGCAGACATTCTCCTGCCATGACAAACATGTAAGGCCATCTGCTGACATTGTAGTTGATATATTTAAACGCTAGCAACGTAGCATCACAAAAATGTTTTTCCGACCAAATCTAGCTCTAGCTCCGTGTGTTAGATCGGTTGCATACACGCTACGCCAGCTATAATGTAATTACGTTTCGCGACTGACCGCACGGCAAATCACCCGGAGTATACTGTCAATAGGTATTTTGTGTGTGAATGCAGACATTCTCCTGCTATGAGATACATGTATGCAAGGCCATCTGCTGATATTAGAGTTGATATATGGAAACTCTAGCAACTTAGTTAGCACAGTTAGCACTGTGTCAATGGCTTAGCAGTCCAACACAGTTTACACATTTAAACAGTCTTGTTTGATAAATACACAAATAACAATGCAAACTTACAGGTTGTATACCCGGATCTTCCCCTGCTCCAAACGGTCCAAACAAGCTGTGCATATCCGGCCTCAAACTGGGCAATGTTTTGGAAGCTTTCGTCTGTGAAATGCCGGTTCTTCGAACCTCTGGAGGAGGAACACGCCGCTGCTGGTGTGGCCATAGCTCTTCGGGATTGGTCCATTTCGTTCCGGGTACCGCATGACATCAGGCGGTACCCGGAAGAATCAAATGGGCAGTGACGTATCTCCAACGAGGCGTTTTGGGGAGGTATTTTCTGTGTTAGAGTTTTACTCGCTACAGGGTGTACTTTGAGGGTTTTGACTCTGCACACCGTTTACATGCATAAAAACCTTCATAACACACAAGGGGACGGGTAATAACCGGAAAAGCATGACATGGGAGCTTTAACGCTTAACACTTGTCTATTTCGTTTTAACCTTTATATATACAGTCTATGGTTTTAAGTTAACTTGGAGGCTAAGATTAGCATTGTTAGCACCGATGTAGCTACCACTCGCTTACAAGCCTTAACATTCATTACGTAGCTGATTGAAATCATAAACACATAAATAAAGTACTCGAATTTCACTTACCGCAAAACCGCATTCATGCACCGTCTGTTTTAACCGCAGAGCGAGTCACAATAGTCCCATATATAAGCATGAAGAACAAACAAACACGGCCGGGGTCAAGTTGTGTTCCCTGGATGAACTGAGCATGGAGAGTCCCTGTAGCTTCACGGAGACGGAGCAGCTAGCAGAGAGACAAGAAGCTAACAGCAGTCACTTGACAGAGCTGTCACTCAATGCGACCACGCCCTAATTTATGCAAAAACTTTAAGACCTAATATAAATAAAAGGGTCATGTTAGAAAACAATTCACTCACAGATTCATAATCATGAAGGTGGAATCTAACTATATACATAATAATATTTATTGCATCCAGGGCTAGAAACGTTTTTTTTCTGCTGTGAAATTGGGCATTTTAACATGGGGGTCTATGGAAATTGCTCCTTTCTGCAGTCATCGCCTATCGGCCAATATATGAACTGCAGTTTGTGGCACTTCCGTATTGGCGTCCCGGCTCTTCCCCAGAGTTTGCCGCTTGGGTTCAACGCGTCATAGAGCAACCAAGTCATTTCATTGGACGAGAGGCATACTATGAGAGCTGGTCACAGGGATGCGTTCAAATTTAGTCAGTAATTTGAGGAACTGGCGAAATGGCGAATGCAGATAAAGTTGAGCTCGAAAATCCTCCAGCATCATTGAAGTCTCCGGTTTGGGAACATTTTGGTTTCGCAGTTACGTACAAGGATGACGGACAAAGACAGCAGGTGGACCGAACCAAAGCTGTTTGTCTGCATTGTTCAACTAACATTGGTTACACGGCTGGCAATACGTCAAACTTGCACACATATTTGAAAAGGCATCACCCGAACGTGAATATCACCGGTACCAAAAGAAAAATGACTGAAGTGCAAACCCAACTCCCACTAGCATTTAAGCCTCCACCACTCGCAAAAAGTTCAGACCGAGCTAAAGCTATTACAAACGCCAAATATCCTTATGTTGCCATGTTAGCAAAGCGCTACATCTGTCCCAAGCGAGAGGGTGTTCTCCACAGCAGGAGACATTAGTGCCAGCAGATCTGCCCTTTCGGCAAGCAATGTGGACAAGTTAATTTTTCTTTAAAAAAACATGAAAATACAATGACAAGCAAGCAAGTCCTAATGTCAAGCTGGCTGCTTAGGGGAGTACAGTTCAAGTACAGATTATTTCAGATCATTGAAATGCTGCACCTTAATGTTTATTTTATTATATTTTTTATTTATTTGAGTGAATACATTATTCACAGTTTAATAATAATTAAAAAAAATAAAAAAAAAATATGTTATATTTTGTGATCATTTTTTCTGCTGTACCGAAAACTTACCGAACCGTGACCTAAAAACCGAGGTACGTACCGAACCGAAATGTTTGTGAACCGTTACACCCCTACTGGATGACTTATACCAACCATGTCATGAAGAATCCAAGCCCTTGCTCACTACTGGAAGCAGCGGAGCTCGGCAAAAGGACCATGCCCAAAGGATGGGGAGTGGCGACATTAACCCGATAAAACCTGGAGAATGTGCCAGAAGATGCCCACGACGCCGTGGCGCAGATGGTCTCCAGGGGCGCCCCTCTCGGGGCAGCCCAAGATGTTGAGATGCTCCTTGTAGAGTGGCATCTCAGCCCTGATTGAGCAGGCGACGAGTCTGCACCAATAAGGACATAACTCGTCCCGATTCCCTAGACATTAGGGCAAAGGCTTACAGTGATGCATCACTGAGGCCCAGCAAAGAAGGCTCAGCCGCAGCCTGCTGCAGAGAGGTAGAGACAGCCAGCATCAGATGGGAGAGGGAGTTCCCGTGCCGCTGTGTCCTAGGCCTTACAGAGCGGCTGGTCTGTGACCCTGCCCTGAGGCCGAGGGCACCTGGCATCGGGAGCCAGAATCGGGGAGGCGATGGCAGGCTCAATGGATGGCAAGCGACCCAGCCCCACCCTCGCCGGATCCTGCATGGCAGCAGAGTGGGAGAGGGCCCTGGTGTCTCTCCAGCATGCATGGATCTCCCTCAGGTACTCCTCTGAAGGAGGAACCGTGAGATTGACAGGGGCAGGGTTATGCCTGAAGAAGGCGCTAGCCTGAGCCGAGTCCGCCTGCGGAACCTGAGGCTGCAAGCGTGCCAGGGCCGCACGACTAGTGGCCGCCATGGAGGCGCCCTGCAGAGAGCTCTGAGCAGAGTAGTGGGAAGCCTCCTCGGGGGTGAGCGGGGCCCCGTCCTCCAACCCTTCATGGAAGAGGTTTAGCCGAAGCCGCTAGCGACATGGCATCCTCAAGCAGAGGTGCGGCAACCGAAGGAGGGCCAGGCGGCAAGCTAGTAGCCCCCACTCCGGACCCTGGCTGAAGGGCCAAGAGGAGCGACTTCATCCGCTCCATGACGGCAGCTAACCGATCCACCTTAGAGGACAGCCTGTTTCTAGTCCTCTACCTGGGGGGTGAACCCATAGCCATCACTCCATGAAGTCGCCGGGAACGGCCAGACTGAGCTGGAGGAAGTTGTGACGAGGAGAGGTGTCCATTGGCTGCTGCCAGACGCTCCACCTCTGCGACTCTAGCCACCCTGAGCGCCCGAGGCATGAAGCTACAGTTCATGCAGGCGCTTTGCGTGAGATCCACCCTCGAATGCTTGAGGCCAAGGCAGAGGGAGGCAGCGGTCATGGCCGTCCTCGGGCTCAAGAGAAGCCATACAGGCGCTAAATGAATGAGCCATTCTGTAGGTAGCCGGATGCAGCGTAGCCGGGAGCGGGTGCGAGAACACAGCCTTCACCAGCTACCTGCTGAACGGAAAGAGTAGAGCAATGCTCCTACTCGCCGAACACAAAGAGGGATTTAACTGCACCCACGTTACCAGCAGAGGGAGCGGGAGCGAGAGCACTGCCTTCACCTAGCTGGATTAAATAAAGAAGTTTAACAGGACAGTTTAGCCAGGCAGCTGCTGCTAGAATGAAGCAGCGTGTCTACCAGGAGCGGGGGCGAGAACACTGCCTTCACTGGTTGAGTTAGTAACGAATGCCAGATGCAGCGTAACCGGGAGCGGGTGCGAGAACACAGCCTTCACCAGCTACCTGCTGAACGGAAAGAGTAGAGCAATGCTCCTACTCGCCGAACACAGAGAGGGATGTAAATGTCCTACACCCACGTTACCAGCAGAGGGAGCGGGAGCGAGAGCACTGCCCTCTAGAGATGGCAAATCCGGATCATTTTACGGACTCAGGGTCTTCTGAGTCAGTCATTGAAGAGATCCGGATCATACGAGTCATTTGAGTCATATGAGTCAGCATGACCAAGACCGTAGAAATCCTATTGGTGAAACCGAAAAGTTGTTGCATTTCACGAGCATATTATTATTCCATATATTTTGAATATACATATATATATTTGTATATATATATATATATATATAATATCTGCATGTATATTTTCTATTTCGACATGTATATTTTATATTTTATTTTATTTTTATTTCTATTCTTGCATATTTTGTAGTTTTGTTTTATTGTAAAATGCCTTATGCTGCTGTAACAACAACAATTTCCCAATTTGGGATCAATAAAGTACTATCTATATCTATTAAACTGACGTTATATTAACCTCTGCTACACAGTGTATTTTGCTTTAATAAAAAATGTTGATCACAAAAAAAAGGGTTATTTTGCGATTTGGCAAATCTGAGTCTGCGAGTGCGCACTGCTGTGTGTTGCACACACAGTGAGTCAGGATTTGCGAATCCGAGTCTGCTGTGGACTCGTGCATGACGGACGAGTCTGCTGGATCTCTGGATCTGCTGCTATACGGTTACGGCTCCGAGTCCGCACGAGTCTGATCCGCTGTGTGTTGCAGCGAGTCAGGATTTGCGAATCTGCGAATCCGAGTCTGCTGTGTGGACTCGTGCATGACGACGAGTCTGCTGGATCTCTGGATCTGCTGCTATACGGTTACGGCTCCGAGTCCGCACGAGTCTGATCCGCTGTGTGTTGCAGCGAGTCAGGATTTGCGAATCTGCGAATCTGCGAGTCTGCTGTTGGAGCCGCCGGCTCCTCTGAGTCCCCACGAGTCTGCAGGAAGTTTCACTGATCCGCGTCCCCTCCCCTGAGCCAAACGATCACTTCTGGCAGCTATCCTGTGACTGTATACTTGCTAAAGGGTAGGTAGATGGACTTGGGGTACGTTGTAATGTGATTTTACATGTTATAAAGAGAGTAGCGAGTGACGCAATTTATAGTTTTAATTTGTACGTCACACCAAGTGTGGGACTCAAGGACTCGGGTTAATGGAGAGGGGAGACTCGTCATGACCAGCTCATTTCTAGGATCCGGGTTAATGATCCGGATGAATCAGGACTCGCCCATCTCTACTGCCTTCACCTAGCTGGATTAAATACAGAAGCTTAACAGGACAGTTTAGCCAGGCGGCTGCTGCTAAGAATCAAGCAACACGTCTACCAGGAGTGGGGCGAAAACACTGCCTTCACTGGTTGAGTTAAACAATGAAGCTCAACAGAGCACGCAAGATGTTAGCCAAGCAGCTGCTGCTAACAATCAAAACAATACGTTACCGGGAGTGGGAGCGAACACGCTGCCTTCACCAGCTGAGTTAAATAATGAAGCTTAACAGTACAGGATGTTAGCCAAGCGGCTGCTGCTAACAATCAAAACCATAGTACGTTACCGGGAGCGAGAGCACTGCCTTCACCAGCTGAGTTAAGTAATGAAGCTTAACAGTACATGCAAGGTGTTAGCCAAGCGGCTGCCGCTAACAATCAAGCAAGATCAAGTCAAATAACACAAATGTTAAGACCAGATAATTAGCTTCTAAAGAAGAGAACAGCACAGAGCCGTAGTTACAGTAGTAACCATGGCCAGTGCTTACACGGCATAAAACCGTAGTTACAGTAGTAACTATGGCCAGTATTTACACGGCTTAGAACCGTAGTTACAAAAGTAACCGTGGCCAGTGCTTAAAAGTGTCAGCCAAACGGCTGCACACTAGCGCATAATATAATATTGGGAGGGATGAAACCCTCTAGCACAATAAGGGCAACTTTATGGAAGAGGAAGCGGAAACACTGTCGTCACCAGAAAGTCTAAGGCAAACAATAAACAAGACAGCAATCAGGACAACTTAGCTGGGAGAGGGTGCGGGGACACAGCCATCGCCAGCTACCTGCTGAACGGAAAGAGTAGAGCAATGCTCCTACTCGCCGAATAAACAAAGCTAAGACCAGAAAACTGGTGTCTAAAGAAAAAACAGCACGGGTAACTCCGGTGCTTAAATGGCAAACAAGTGAATATGTCAGATTTCCGTGTCTCCAAAACTCTAAACACATTTTCAGCTCGGCACCCAATTTGCAATTCAACTTGGCAGTTTTTGCAAAACACTGCACACGGTTCTCCAAGTAAGAGACACACATCTGAGATATACACTTGTTTGCCATTTTCAAAACACTGCCATTAAAAATGCTAAACACATGAACCAGTTAACAAATACACATGCCAAATGACCGTAAACACCAAACTGCTTTATTGTTGACTCGTCAATCAGGATGTAAGCACTAGAAAAAGGCTTCATGTAAGAACTTTTTACAACAACAATGTATATATGGACAGCAGCAAGAGGAAGAGGGAGGATAGGAGAGAGGGAGGATAAGAGAGAGGGAGCAGTGGCGAGCCGTGACTTTTATACCTAGGCCCTCTGACCCCCACCCCTTCCCTCGAAAAAAAGGAAAAAAAGAAGAGTTACAGCGTATACTTCAGTGGAATAACAAAACAGCGGCCCGGGGTGCAAAACGCATCAATGACAGCGACCCTCTTCCACAAAAAACAACACCATGTATCTAAACACCTATCATGACAGGGCACCCACAGCCAAGTAATAATTAAAAATGAATGAAGTCGGCACGGCGGCCCACATTGAAAATGACTTACCTTTGATGATCAAATCACTTAAACACAAAGTCCATCCTGTCCTTTTGGATGAAGCACTTGATGGCGGGTCATGCAGCTGATCCTTTGCCACTCCAGTTTATCATTGTAACTCAATCTTGAAAATGACTTAATAATTTCGCAACGATGTCATCACTATCACTGACATGAGCCATCATGAACAAACTTATGCTAATCATAAATCTATCGATCATAAATCTATCGATTAGATTTATGATTCAAAAATTATAAAAGTAGGGTAGACATGTGGATATTATCCGGCTGAACAAAACGTGCATTTATCTAACAGGTTCGTTTTCCACAGACCTTATTTCGAGCTATTTTCCAAAACCCTATTGAGAAATCCCATTGCTTTTGTGTCGAGGGAACCCGAGCGCAGCTTACTTCCGGGTTTCTTCACAGAGGGCGGAACTTGTCATAAAGTCCGCGAAAATAAAGCCCACCCATTTAGAGCGAAGATATGATTGGTCAATTGTACTGTCATGTGACATTACTCTCTCATTGAGTTACTATAGCTGGCCCTCTGTGAATGTACAGAGGGACCAACAAGCTCTCCCGTCTTCACATAACTCGCAGAGACGGCTAAAGGAGCTTCTTTCATTTAACCCTTCACATTCCAACAGAAACTGAACAGGCAGATTCTAAGGATTTATTCGTTTGGAAATGTTATTTTAAATACAATTAAATCAAGTTATTTTGGTAAAACTAATGAAAACTAGAAAATGCATTTCCTGCAGAAAATGCGTGCGAATGCTGTAAACTGTGAACATTTGTGGCTGAATTTAGTTGAAAATGCAGAAAAAGCTGAATGTTATTAGCTGAATGGTAGCTGCTTTTAGCTACAAAAATGGAGAAAAAGCTTAATATTTAAAAGAAAAGGTTTAAACAAACATGTATAGCCTTGATGTCCTGAAATAGCTGAATAATGTAATAGTTGAATGGTTTCTGCAGCTGAAAATAGGCTGAAGGAGTTAAATATCAGATGTAAGTAGTAGTGAATGAATTTGTATTAAGATGAGAAAAGAAAGTAAAAAGGCTTGGGAAAGCAGCAGAATATTTGAACTGCAAACTTTTGAACTAACTTGATGGTGAATTATCTGTCGCCATGGCAACGGCATTTGATGACACCCCATAATACGCTTAGATGTGTTGATGGCTGCATCGTTACCAAACCTGTGAAGTTTTGGGCCATTTCGAGCATTTTCACTGAAGTTATGAGAAAACCGTGTTTCATGGTGAGCATTGTGTTGCCATGGCAACGGCATTTGAAGAAATCTCAAAACTGTCCCGTAGATGTCTTCACG